GGAGCTGGAAGTGGTTTTGGAGGAGCAGGAAGCGGATTAGGAGGAGGGTCATCTGGAGCGGGATACACAGGAGGAAGAGGCGCTGGCGCCACCTCTCATCGTGGCTCATCTGCAGGAGGATTTAGAGGTTCCGTAGGATCTTCAAGAGGTTCTGGTGGTGCTTTTGGAGGAAGCGGTTTCGGGGGCTCTTCAGGTAGCGGATTCGGTGGTTCATCCCGTGGCTCATCAGGAGGATCTAGAGGTTCATCTGGAGTAGGTTTTGGAGGCTCATCCGCAGGAGGATTCGGAGGCAGCGCCGCTGGAGGCGCTGGAGCTGGAGGGTACAGCGGCTCCTCAGGGCCTGTGGTTCCCATCCTCAGGGACGACCGTCAGGGACCCGATGAGTTCGGAAACTACAACTTCAACTTCGAAACTGGCGACGGCATCAGCCGACAGGAACAGGGTGCCCCTCAGGGACCAACTGGCGCCGTGGCTTCTCAAGGATCATGGTCGTAAGTAACCACAGTTCAGCCACAAGCCAAAAGTATGCTGTGTCCAGATCCATAAACCTTTACAAGCGATTTCTCTAACTCTAACGAACTGTTTCCAGGTTTACCTTCCCTGACGGCACTCCAGCTAACTTCAATTTCGTTGCTGACGAGAACGGTTACCGTGTGGAGTCTGACCTGCTACCCACACCCCCTCCCCTCCCCCCGCACGCCATCGCCCAGATCGAGAAGGCTCGTCAGGAGGACGCCGCCGCTGCTGCTTCGGTGGTGCGAGGCGGTTACAGTGGCCAGTCAGGTTCCGGTTCTGGACAGTTCTCAGGATCTGGCCAATCAGGCTTTGGCTCCGGTCAGTTCTCAGGTGCTGGCCAATCAGGCTTTGGCTCTGGCCAGTTCTCAGGTGCTGGGCTTTGGCTCTGGCCAGTTCTCAGGTGCTGGCCAATCAGGCTTTGGCTCTGGCCAGTTCTCAGGTGCCGGTCAGTCAGATTTTGGCTCAAGCCAGTTTTCTGGATCTGGGCAGTCTGGCACCGGATCCGGACAGTTTTCAGGCGCCGGTCAGTCAAGCTTCGGTTCCAGCCAGTTCTCAGGTGCCGGTTCTTCTCAGGCTCCAAGCAGGTCTTATGGTTATCCGTAAATATGATTCATCATGAGGCGGCAAAGCGCTTATTACCTGGACTCTACTTGACAAGAATGATATCGCCGAGAATAGTTATTCTATTGAAACGTTGTTACCTGAAGAATACATTTAATTATTAAATATCAGTTATTAAATATGGACGTATTTCATTGATACTTTCGATGGCATTTTGTTGGCTAAGGGCACATATTAACATTCCACATAATGCTTAGAATTTTGTGTGTGTGTGTGTGTGTGTGTGTGTGTGTGGTGTGTGTGTGTGTGTGTGTGTGTGTGTGTGTGTAGTAACAATGAATAAGAGAGATTAATTATTGTGATATGCTATACGCAATAATATTTCCACAATACAATATTTCATTTAAGTAAAACCTTAAAACGATGCCACTGATAAATAGTTTAAAGAGACACCACTGAATGAAGCTATAATGACAGCCGTCAAAATACTTATGTCAATTTCTTATATATATATATATATATATATATATATATATATATATATATATATATATATATATACATATATATATATATATATATATATATATATATATATATATATACATATACTATATATATATATATATATATATATATATACCATACTTACACACATATATACACACACATGCACACACACACATAAAATAGATTAATCAAAATATCAAATATATATATATACACATGAATACACAAAACACAATTATATATTACAAATATATACATGTATGTAGTGTACATACACACACACACATTATATGTGTGTGTATATATATATATATAATATATATATATATATATATATAATATTATAATATATAATATATGCATATATATATCCACACACAACACGAGCATACATACACATACACACAGTTATATTATATATTATATACAATACATATATACATGCAATATACATATAATAATATAACATACCATACATATACATACATACCATACATAATATATATACAACATAATTATATATTAATAATATAATATATACTATAACTAATATATTATATATATATATATAATTATATTAATATATATATATATATACATCGAATCACCGATCGGAGAGGTTTAATATATTCATGATATAAATGCGACCAGTTTCCATTATTCCATCATTCATATTTATAATATATAATAACATATATATTATATATATATATATATATAATATACATATAAATATATATATATAATATTATAATATTATAATACACACATACACACAAACACACACACACCACCACACACACACACACACACACACACAACACAATATATATATAATATAAATATATAATATATATAATATATATATATATATATATTATATTATATATACATATATACGTATGTTGTATATATATATATATATAAATATATTATATATAATATTATATATATTATGTATATATATGTATAAAATATACACAAGACACACACACACACACATCATGTATATATGTATATAATGTAATATATATAAATATATATATATATATATATATATATAATATATATTATAAATATATATATCAAGTAGTTCAACGCGTGGCTGATGAATATGTGCATCGTTCAAGTTTAAAAAGAGAAAAAGTTCTATGATTAGAAGATGTTAAACAAATAAAAAAAATAAAAGACAGGCGATGCTTGACGTTTCAGCGAGACCGAAAGGAGCCCGTAAAGAGATATCCCCACAAACAGACGAGTAGACGATAAGAACTTTGAACGAAAAAGAAGACAGAAAATGAAACTAAGAAAGAAAAATAAAGTGGTGAAATAACATGTCGTTCGAAGCATAAGAAGCTAATGTCAGAGCCTTTCTAGATAGTGTAAAAATAGGTTACACAAATGCAAATGGTTTAGTCTCAAAATTGTTAATAGAAGAATACACAAAGCAATTGGATTCAAGCAATTAGGATTAAGAAAATATGATATTTAGGGAAATAATAGAGTATTGAAAAGGAACGGAAGTGGGACCACACTATTAACAAGGAAATTAATCAATGTAAGTGAGTGAAAGATTAAACAAGACCCGATACTGTAACGAAATTTAATAGAGTTGGAAACAAAACAAATGAAGAAAGAACAATAATAGGGTCTATTTTATAGGCACCTCGTACCTTGGCGGATCGCAAGAAGAAAATTACAAAACATTTCCAAAAAAATGCTAAAGAGCCTGAAAAAAAATTGACAAATAAACTGAAACCTAATTGAAAAGAAATTCTAATGCAACAGAGGATTATCATAGCACAACTGACAGGGAAAGTTTCATTTCCAGACCACAGCCAGAATGCAAACCTTATAGAAGACATTATAGTGTTGGCTTTTTCAAAATGAGAAGCTTGACCTAGCAATCCCAAATCGTAAGGACGACAATAACATATGCAGAACTATCCTTTCCGGGAAAAAATGTCGTATTAAAAACTAATATTAAGGATTAAACAAGGAAAACTTCACAAGGAAAGGGTAGGGGGAAGGTTCAATAATTATAGGAATTGTAAGGGTTTCTTTAAAGACAAAACTAAAGGACAAATAGAAAAGAAAAGAAGAAGAAGTAAGAAGAAGAAGAAAAAATGATAAAAAAATAAAAAAATAATATATATATATAATATATATATATATATATATATATATATATATATATAATATATTATTATATATATATATGTGTGTGTGTGTGTGTGTGTTGTGTGTTGTGTGTGTGTGTGTGTGTACATACAGATATACATATTATACATATACATTAGAGAATATAAAATATATAACATACACACACAAAACACACAAATATTATATATATTATATATATATATAATCTATATATATATTTATATTATGTATGTAGTATGTATGTATATATATACATACAACAATCACACACACACACACAAAACGCGTATATGTACACATTCATATAAATAAATTGTATCTATCTATCTATCTATCTATCTATCTATCTATCTATATATACAAATATAAATATATATATATATATTATATATATATATATATATATATATGTATATATATATGTGTGTGTGTGTGTGTGTGTGTGTGTGTGTGTGTGTGTGTGTGTGTGTTGATGTGTGTGTGTGATATGTGTGTGTGTGTGTGTGTGTGTGTGTGTGTGTTATGTGTTATTAATATATATATATATATATATATATTATATGATATATATTTATATATATATATGTTGTGTGTGTGTGTGTGTGTGTGTGTGTGTGTGTGTGTGTGTGTGTGTGTGTGTGTGTGTGTGTGTGTGTGTGTGTGTATGTGTGTGTGTGTGTGTGCTGTGTATGTGTGTGTGTGTGTGATGTGTTGTGGTGTGTGTGATGTGTGTTGTTTTTGTGAATGTATGTGTGTGTGTATGTGTTGTGTGTGTATGTTGTGTGTGTGTGTGTGTGTAGTGTGTGTCTGTGTGTGTGTGTTGTGTGTGTTGGTGTGTGTGTGTGTGTGTGTGTGTGGAGTTTCGTGTGTGGTAGTGTGTGTGTGTCGTGTGTGCGTATGTTCGATGTATGTGTGTGTGTATATATATATATATTATAAATATATTAATAATAATATATATATATATATATATATATATATATATATATATATATATATATATATATGTACATATATATAATAATATATATTATATATATATATATATAATATAAATAAATATATATATATAAATATATATATTATAAATATACAGATATGCATATGTAATATGTATATATATATATATATATATATAATATATATAATATTATATATATATATTATATTATACTATAATATATATATATTATACACACACACACAACATATATATAATACATATATAACACTTACAACAAGATATGTCATTATATAAAACGCATAAAAAAGTCAAACCATGAGAAAATAATCATAAAACTGCTAGATGAGTACAATGATAAGATATCATCACATATAATAATGCGTAAGGTAACATAACGAAGCGAATACCTGCTGACATAAAAAGACTCAGTCAGGCGAGTCCCGTATGTCGTGAGTCTCCAACTAGAGCAAGGAGACAGATCTACTTGCGAGAGAAAATTGTGTCATAACTGTTACATCATAACTGCTACATCTATGACGTTTTGGTCTGTAGAATTTTTTGGCAAATTTTTCTGTTGTACTTATAGGTTGATGATCAAGTTGACCATGATTCTGTTTCCAAACTCACGCTTTTCTTGTGGGTAAGGTAAATGGGTGTATATCAATAGGGGGGGGGGGGGAGTTTAATTAGGCAGAATAAAAGTAAAAATAGATTTTTCGATTCAATGTTGATTTCAGACCGTCACTGCTAAATAATGATTAATAATATGATAATAATAATAATAATAATAATAAATAATAATAATAATAAAGATACTGCTGCAGATCAAATATCGAGATTAATTAGATTAATTACTTTTTTCAAAAAAAGTCTTGAAAATTTACAATATACCTGCACATTAGCGTGAAAATCTGTGAGAGCAAATGGACCTACGTATGTCTGAAGCAATCATTATTTTCCCATGTGCATTTTTTTTTTTTTTTTTTTTAATCTTATAAGGTTATCCAGCATTTCGAGTCGTGCACATTACGTTGTTTACCTTGCCTTACCTTATGGAATAACTAAGTTTCAGGGTCGTGTACCGCTGATATACTCGTAAGTAAATAAAAAAAGAAAGCTATCACAAACCCTATACAATCATCATTACCGTTAGTCACGGTAAACGAGATTCTTAGTTAAGGGCTGAGATATGAGTCAGTTCTGAAGTGGAGGAGAGACCTTCCTGTTCCTGTTTCCGTGAGTTCCTTCAGTCAAGGTCGTTCCCCAAACGCTGAATGACGGCGCAGTGAGAGTGAAAGGCGTTGGGATGGAACATGGTATATAAGCGTCTAGTCCTTCTGCTCTTCATTCAGTTCGACTCCATCTTCCAACGGTCATGATTTCGGTAAAACAAGTGTGCCTCAATCACATGAAAACAGGTGTTGCGTAAAATGATTTATTCATTTACTTCACTGATATTTTCTTCTCTTTTTTTCAGAAATTGGTACTCTGTGGCGTGATCGCCGCCGTGGCATCACTGCCCCAAAGCCCGTCTACGTCCTACGGGACTCCCAATGTGGGATCTGGAGGAGGAGGCTTCGGTGGCAGCGGGTTTGGAGGTTCCTCGGGAAGTGGGTTTGGAAGGGGGACCAGCGGAGGTTTCGGAGGAGCTGGCAGTGGCTTCGGAGGAGCTGGCAGTGGCTTCGGAGGAGCTGGCAGTGGCTGGAGGGCTGGCAGTGGCTTCGGAGGAGCTGGTTTGGAGAGCTGGTACTGGTTCCGGAAGAGGAGCTGGCACTGGTTTTGGAGGATCCGGTAGCGGATTCGGTGGTTCGTCCCGTGGCTCATCAGGAGGATCTAGAGGTTCATCTGGAGTAGGTTTTGGAGGCTCATCCGCAGGAGGATTCGGAGGCAGCGGCGCTGGAGGCGCTGGAGCTGGAAGGTACAGCGGCTCCTCAGGGCCTGTGGTTCCCATCCTCAGGGACGACCGTCAGGGACCCGATGAGTTCGGAAACTACAACTTCAACTTCGAAACTGGCGACGGCATCAGCCGACAGGAACAGGGCGCCCCTCAGGGACCAACTGGCGCCGTGGCCTCTCAAGGAGCATGGTCGTAAGTAACCACAGTTCAGCCAAAAAAAGTATGCTGTGTCCAGATCCATAAACCTTTACAAGCGATTTCTCTAACTCTAACGAACTGTTTCCAGGTTTACCTTCCCTGACGGCACTCCAGCTAACTTCAATTTCGTTGCTGACGAGAACGGTTACCGTGTGGAGTCTGACCTGCTGCCCACCCCTCCCCTCCCCCCGCACGCCATCGCCCAGATCGAGAAGGCTCGTCAGGAGGACGCCGCCGCTGCTGCTTCCGGTGGGCGAGGCGGTTACAGTGGCCAGTCAGGTTCCGGTTCTGGACAGTTCTCAGGATCTGGCCAATCAGGCTTTGGCTCCGGTCAGTTCTCAGGTGCTGGCCACGAGTTCTCAGGCTGGCGACCAGGTTCTGGATCTGGACAGTTCTCAGGTGCTGGCCGACCAGGTTCTGGCCAATCAGGCTTTGGCTCTGGCCAGTTCTCAGGTGCTGGCCGACCAGGTTCTGGCCAATCAGGCTTTGGTTCAGGCCAGCAGTTCGCAGGCGCTGGCTCTTCCCAAGCTCCAAGCAGGTCATACGGTTACCCTTAAGCACACTCAGCCAAACGGCCGAAACGAGAACTTTGCTGTAAGAATCCTATACGTGAACTTTACCAATGTTATTCAGCCGACGACGGATGCGAGTCCTGGAAGACATTTTATGGTGCCACGTTGTTACCTGAACA